TTTTTTTGATGGAAGCAGAAAATTATGTGCAAATAAGGGATATAAATGGAAGTGGCCATACAAGTTGCAAATTACTCCAATTAAGTCTATGGAACTCAAAGGCTGATTCCAAATTTGTCTCACTATCTATCCAACACCTTTTTTAAAAAGCAGATATTCAATATGAGTATTCTTCCTCTAAAAGACCTTCCTGTATTGGTGCGAAGATTCGATTTTAAGCAAAGGGACACATACCAACTTTTTATAGACGATTTCACTCAAAAAAGCAATTGAATTGCTTTTTTAGCCAAACTTGCTTTACAACGGTTAGTGAAAGTTCAATCGAGCTACTTTTGACAGAGAAAATTTGCCTTAGCAGAAGATTTTTATACTCTTGAAAGAATATAAGGCGTAAAATGCAATGTCCTTTTCGTAATTTTTTTTCACAATAAAATTCTGTTAATAGTGTACTTCAGTTAGTGACCTTTCATGCTTAAGTATCTCAACAATACCACTTGACACCAATAGTGTACAAATGTTCCTGTAAAATAAAAAAAAACCACGACTTGGTAAGTGAGTATAAATGTAGAGCGGCAAGCCTTGTTATCATTGGCAAAATGAAAGCTTTCTACTGCCTTTTTGCTGTTCTCTTCTTCATCGCACAGAGGTGAGCGATTCTTCGTATTTCTTAGTCGCTTTTGTTTTTTAAAATAAAAGCTGAACGAGCATAAAACAGAAGCTTCTTCAATATCTAAACATGCACTCAAAAACCTCAAAACATTTTTCCTATCACCTATACCTTTGCTACATACAAAAAATTTCTTAATTTTAGGTCCTTTGCTCATTTACATACCGAATGCGAAGGTTTGTGAAAATTTATTTATTTTTGCTCCGTCTATGGTGTCAATTTTGCGATTGCATTAAGATGAACACTCTGTGGAAGATGAAGACCCTCATGTGGATCATGTGGATCATGTGGATGTGCATCCTGTTCATGAAGTAGTTCCGACTCCATATCATATTGCTCCGGTCGTGGCACCAATTCCGGTTGCTCATGTTGCACCAGCTCCTTACCATCATCATCATGTTGCTGTAAGCCTCATGTTTACTTTATTATTACACTTGTGTAGAAAAATACATGTGCATTTCAAGGGTCATCCCCACCATCCCCACCACTACACGCGTACTGAACTCAGGAATGTGGCAAAATCTTATCACAAAGGTCAGAGAGTTATATTTCTTTTTCTTTTCTAATCTTTGCTGAAACATTTTAATGCTTTCAGAGTCAGGACATACCTCGGAAACAGCTATGGTGTCTGAAACAGGACACCATCCTTCTTCTCACAATCACCACTCTTTTGAGCACATTCCTGATGTAGTACATCTCCCTGAACTATTACGCTCACGAGCTAGCAGGAAGCTAGTCTCAAAAAAAGTTGTGCGAGCACATAGGAAATTTGACAAGAAGAAGAATTAAAAGAGCTTTATTCGATTATTTGAAAGCTTATACCAACTGCTATATAACAACTTTGATAAAGAAATGTTCATTGTATCAGCATTGTATTATGAAAAGTTATAGCAATAAAATATTTACACCAAAGTTTATTCCGCTTTAATCCCTCTTAAATAATGGTTTGCATCTAAACGTTTTCTTCTATCATAGTGAGGTCCGATGTTATGGTATGCAGACCTAAGTTCTCATCAACTAAGTTAATGAAATTAGACGCCTCTAAACTGCATAGACTTACTGCTTCTTAGCATATATACCGTAGTGTGATAAATGCTTTTTCAATGTAACATGAAAAAAGAAGT